TTTTGAAACAAGGGAAAGAAGGGTTAGAAAAACAAATTGTTCTTTTTTTTTTTTTTCAAATGATCAAGGACCTCTAGTACAAATTGAGGGAGGGAGCTGACCTAGTGACTAGAGAGGTACGTATACCAATTTGGTTTGTCACCTAAACTTTCATATGAAAAAAGAAAGGTACTCCTGAGTCTTGACAAGATTCCAAATCTGGTCCCAAAAAAATAATTCTGTGATGAGCTGCACATGGGTTTGGACAGTTGTTCCTTTTGGACCCATAACAAAGTCCAAAAAAAAAGAAAAAAGAAACGAATAGGGTTGATCAATGTCCACTTTTGAACAAATTTGACTTGGTCAAAGATTAATTCTTTTAATATAAGACTATTTTTAAAATTTATGAGAATCATTGTTTGAGTAATTACCCAAACAGATAATTTTAATTCACAGTACCATCCAAGTATAGTGCAGGAATTACATTGCACTAATCTTCTTTATTTCTAAAGTTTATCATCGTTATTTAAGCATTGTCTCAACCAATGTTTTAAAAATGATTCGGAATCAGTACCATTCAAGCCATTGGTTTTGGGTCCATAGTTTGACCGTGGTCTATTCTGACAAAAAAATAAAAAATTAAAATAAAATGGCTTAAAATTATTGAACGGGTCAAACGGATTAATGGTTTGATCGCTTGAATCAACTGATCGTTGACCAATTCAATGATTTTTGGTCAGGGATTAGGTTTGAGGTAAAACGAAACTAATTAATTACACAATTTTCAGGCCAAATGGTCCAACCATATGGATCAACGGCAATTCAAAAACATTGGTCTCAACTATTCATTTCTAATGTTATACTCATCAAATCTTAGTCTGAATGATGTATCTTATCACATATAAGAACTTTTTCTTTTTTTTTTAAATTTCTTTCTCCCCATTAATAAAATGGAAACTTAGATTTATAGAATCATGTTGTGGCAAAACCAAATGGACAAATAGTCAATTGACTAAATATAAAAGTTAAAATAGAAAGGAAAAAAAAGAAATATATGTGTAAAAGTGCAGCAATAAAGGACATTTTACAAGTAGCAAAGCAAATCGAATGCAAAGACGACCATCGACACAAGTTTTTATAGGAAAAAATGTGATTAATTTGCAAAGATTTTAGTCCACGTTCCCTAATTGGTAGCTAAATTTAGAAGAACCCATGCCACTATTTTTCATACTATATTTGACCAAGTTGTGAGGCCCAAATTCAAAAAGTCTTGTTTGTTGGGGTTAAGAAGAGAAACCCTCCTTTAGCTTAACTAGGTGGTAGTGTATGGATGTGCTCTGCCTCTTTGTCGTTTTTGAATCACCTTCCACCAGAAGTTCAACCTTGTCTCGACTCCAGTGAACTATTGGATGAATTGGGGCTTAAGGCAGCTGAACATGTGCAGACTTATCAAAGAAGAATCTCGCGATCCAGCTGAAAAACTACAGCTAAAGCTAGCGCGCAACGCAAGAAAACGGCTGCGCTAACGCGCAACGGCGTTAGCGCGTCAGCGCTCAAGCATGCGCGCTGGGCATACCTCTTCCGTGCGTCTTTCTCGTGGCGGGAACAGAACAGGGAAAGACCCGGCCGACCTGCCCAGGGCTCGAGGGCGAGCCATACGAGAGTGAGTCGAAAGGCTTTCAATAATGATGGAAGTGTTGATTCTTCTTCAGTATAAAGCTGCTTCCACTGTTTAGTCTATATTATTGGCCAAATAAGGCTGGCATTTCTTCCCTAACCTCATACATTCATCGCTAGTCCAAGCCCATAATGGTGGCACCTTAATGCCTTGGGCCAGGGTAATTAAGATCCATTATTTGATTTATCAGCTTTTTTACCAATTACCAGGTTTCAAAAATCTATGAACAAGACCCACATGAAAGGTTCTCTCAACTTGAATTTCTTTATTTTTGCAAACCAATGTCAGATTCCATGCATCCCTTCTTGTAATGTTTGCAGAGTTAATAGAGAGTTAGCATGATTCACTTGTCTTCTTGCTCATGCTGATCGATGTGGATTGCTATTTGCTAGCTTAGGTCTATTACATTTACATCTGGGTATGGAAATTTCAGTCATTCGGATCATCCTTGATCCAATTTCAGTGTACCATACAATGGGCTCAGATTTCCTACACTTCCATGCAGTATGTTACAGGTGTTCATCAGTTATGTATTCACATATGCGTTGATACATATATACACATTACGTTTAATAGCACACTTGTTATACAATTTGAAGTGCAACAAAAAGTTCAGGAAATGCACCAAATCATAGAATCTGAATCATTTTGATTACGCCCCATGAAGTAAAAATCACTTCTGGAATTTTATGCCCTAATACATTTCAAGTTTTTAAAATATAATCTACAAAACAAATCCCTTTGTTATGTAAATTATTTTTTGCTGCAACAAAGGATGTAACAACTCAGAGAAGTTGATACTGAATCGTAGGCAGCAAGCTGACAAAAACAAAAAGGCGAATTTTCAAGTTGGAAGGAAGGGTGAGGTGCTGAATCCATTTGAACCCTAATCCGACGAATACAATACAGCCTACTGGAAAACGCGTTTGGGAAAAATACAGTCTTGTACGTCCCTCCCGCCTGCTCCTACGCCCCAAATAAATACATCTGGAAAAGTTGCAATTTTTGAGTCAATACGTTGGGGAAAAGATCGCATCCAAACACTGCTAAAAAAAAAATCTAGAGTACGTTTGGAAATTGGAACCTTTCGAACAAATTCGGAAAAATGGACCGGGTTCAGGTTCCTGCATGTTTCGAACAAAATCTGTGCAATGCGCATGTTTTTTATGTTTATGGCTTTGGTTGGTGTATGAATGTTGTTGATGGTTGGCCTTGCTTGGTCATCCTAGCTGTGCCCGTGCCCGGTGACCCTCTGGATCCGGCCTGTCCAAACGCTCCCTAAAGTACCTGTTAGTGGCCCCCGTTGTCCGAATGCTATGCTGCACCTTGTACGTATGGAATCTGGAAAGGCCCTTCGTGGGGCCCTGTTGATGGGTTCACATCACTGCATTATCGTTCTTTATCATGTGTCTTGTCGTGTCTTACAGCTCCTGATAAGTCTTCTCTGAAGCCTACCGTTTGATTGATGGACCTTGCATCTTTTATTGATCGTTTCAAATTTTCAAGGGATTTTTGGTGGGTCCAGAGATCAGTTCGGGACGACACGACACCGTTGCCGTTGATACCTAGATTTGCATCCCAATGACAGATGGCACGGTGATGTTGGTGATCCTGGGAGTGGGCCCACAGTTCTCCCTTGAAGCATGCCAAGACAACAGAACGCGAAAAGAAAGAAAAAGTTAAAAAGGGGGAAGGATTTTTAAACCCTCTCTCAAGAGTCCCTCACCGTCACCGATCCCTATATTATTCTCTGCAGCTTTTGCTCTGTACTGCATATATATCTTCCAACAAATCAAAGCAAATGAACCCAGAAAAGGATATGCTAGAAGCGCTGTAGGAACCTCATTCCACAATTGGATTGGAATCTTGTACCTCATGATGTGAAGCAGTACAAAGGGTTCCCATCTAATTGTGGAAGCCTATGAGCTACAGAAACTGTAGATGCAGGGAATGGACCACTCCATCAGGTCCTTGAAATGGATACAACTTGAAAAACATAAGTAAAATTAAAAAAATATATTAGTAAGAAGAGAGAGAAAGGCGTATCGTATAACTTCTCCACCACCAAGGCTTTACTTTTTCAGAAAGGGAATAGACACACCCGGATCTCCCTCAAATTTACAATACGTCTGATACGTCATGTCACCACATTTTATCCCCAAAATGCCCTTCACGGGGCTGTGGGGATCCAACGGACAAAACTACGTCTCTTTGAATTTGAATTTGAATTGAAGATCAGCTGTGGGCTGTGGATGTTGTCTGTCTCTCCTTCCCGGCTTCCCCTAGTCCCCTAGTCCCTACCTTTTGTGCGGTATGTTGGTTGTGAATATCATCGATCAGGCTTTATCAATATCAGCTTCGGTTTTGGTTAATTGAGGTGTGTTGTGTGTTGGTTGCTGCTTGTATCGGTTCATATAATATAATTATATAAACCGTCGGATCCATGGAGGAAGGGAGAGGGCATGATGTGTAAAAAGAGGTAAAGAAGAGGGTGTTAGGGTGATAAGGGGAGGGAAGAGGGGGTTATGTACTTTTGCCCCAGAAATAAAGGGAGAGTGGGGGACCGCGTAGGCGCAGCGGGAAGAGAAAACGACGTAACGTATCGCTGACATCTGACTATCTGAGCCGGGGAGCAGAAGTCGAGTCCCCATCGACTCGTCTCCTTGTGCCGCGAAACGCGGACTACAGTCCCCCAAGGCTGTGCCACCTCGGGAACCTTTTCTGCTCACCATCGTTGGAGAAGATGAAAGGATGAACATCCCCTCTCTCTCTTCGTGGGCCATAGATGATGGCCCTGGCACTGTGGTGGCACATCCTTCCCTTCCTCCGTTTTCAATCTCCGATCCCACCCTTTCTCAAGATGGTCCCGTTACGGCTTACGCGTCAATGCTTTATTTAACATCAAACATTATCATCATACGGTAGATGATCATGTTTTTGGACGGTGATATCTAATTGCGCGATCAAAGGCGTGAATGTGGTTTAGAAAACTGGATTCACGATAACAACGAAGATAAAAAAAGGATAACCTGATTTCAATTTTTCTGTTCATCTATTGTCACGTCTTGGGCGTCGGTTTGACAAGTCCTTCAGGAGAGTGGGAGTGACGAGAGAGATGTCATAAAACGTGACCGAAGAAGGGAAAAATCAGAGAGTAAATTATTGTTACTAATTTTTGTTGTGTCACAATTCACATATCCTGTCTCTTATCTCTTTAACACTCCGTTTTGTTTCGTTGTTGACCAACTGTTTCTGTTTCAGATTAATTTTAATTAATTTCTCCGTTAATACCGTAAATTAATATTTAATAACTATAATTGGTTTGTTACGCCCGCGAAACTGCGCGACGGAGAAAGCGCGAATTGACGTTACTGGCGCAGTTTAAGCTCTGAAATCGAGCGTACGCCCCCCTCGCCCTTTCCCTTCATACATTCACTTCTCTCTCTTTTCTCTCTCGCGCGCGCACTGCACAAATTTTCTCCTGGCAGTTGGCACCTCTGGGCTTACGATAGCACATTCCCTCCCGACGTCAGCACGGACCTTGGACGTTGAATCTCGACCGCCTTTTTTCTTCCCATTCGCGTGCCCTCCTTTTCCGCATCTGTCAGCTCGCTCTCTCTCTCTCTCTGATTTGAAAAGAAAAAAAAGAAAACCGAAATTCCCTAAAATCTCTCTTCCTCCTGTGAGCCTTTCGTTTTACTGCTTAGAAGATTTTCTTCTTCTTACTCTAGCTAGGGATTTCTTTCTCTTTCTAGGGTTTTAACCAGCAAGGCAGCAACAATTTCGTTTTGAATCCTGTCCTGTTCCAACTTATCTGATTTTGCACAATTTTTGGAGATGCGTCGAAGAGGAAGTTTAGTGTTGCTTACTTAGTTACATGTAAGCTGTTTCCTTGTTCTTTAATTCCAGCTGGATTTCTCTCCTTTATAATGTGTGTATTAGGAAACAGTTTTAGTGGTATTTTCTTTACTTGTTAGGGTTTTATCTTTTTTCACTCTATGTTTTTAATGAGAATTTCGATTTCTGACTCTTTCTGTTTTTGTTTTATATCTGTTTAGACAGCTTCATATGATTATCCAGTTATTTATCACTGGCATTTTGATGCTTTGTTTTGATTTATACATTCTTAAGGTTTCTTTCTAGAGATGTATTTGTATGCTTGAGATGTTAGATTTAGTGACGCCGTGGAGTTGGTTCACTTAGTTTTCTTTTTTTTTCTTTTCTGTTTTCTTGCTTGGCTTTAAAGGCCTCTGTTTAGCATGCTCTCCACTGTGAATAAATTCGGTTACTCCGACCTAATTCCAAAAACTACTATGTAACATCTCAAGAAGTTTGAAATCTCTTAAGTAACATGCGCATCCTAATGGCAGTGTTCCTGCTGTTTCCAGTAAAAATTTTGAGAGCATCTCAAATATATTTTTATCCAGAAAATATCATACCAAGTCTATGTTGATGTCGGTCAAGCTCTCCCTTTTCCCCTTTGAATTTTAGCATCTCAAATCAAAAGCTAATTGATTCTACTGGGATTTAGCAGATTGAAGGTTTAAGGTCTCGTGTATTTTGGTTCTACTAGGATTTTTTTTTTCTCATTTTTGATTTCGAGAAACAATGAGAACCAAACATTCTGATGGTTGTGTGGGAGCAAGATACTTTAAAATGTGGTGAAATTTTCTTTTTTTTTTACTTGGATTTTGTTATATATCGCCTTGTAACAGGTCTCTAAGGATGAATTGCAGCATTGATCCCTGAAATCTACGGGGTGTGCTTGTAACCTGATAATTTGAATATCAGATTCGGGGAGTTTGTTGCCTTTGTTTCTGATGGGCACCTAAATATCCTATTTCTTTATTCTTCTTATCGAGGCTCTTTTTGTGACTCAAGGAATTGATCTAAGATGGAGAGCCTGTGAGTTCAAAATTCAGCCAATGGAAATTAGGTCATAATTATCTCAGTATCATTATCATACTGAATTTAATTTCCACTTCATTTAACCATTTTCAGTTAATCGTATAACATATGTATAGAATCAAATAGGATTTAAATTGAACAAAAAAGTTAATTCAGTTTGAATTTACCATTCTAGTGCCATTTCTTTTCTAGTCTAAAATCATAGTTGGCTCTTATGGAAAAAATGTTAGGCTCTTAACCGGTTTAGTAGCTTAGGGCCTGTATTTTTTTTATATAAAAATCCAGGTTGTTCTATTTCCTGTTAACTGAAAAGAATTCCCAGTTCTTTGTGATATTAATTTGTCATTATGAAATTTCTGGATGGTTATTGAACTAAATAGCTGATCTAAGATTGGCCTCGGAGGCTTGGACTAGTTTCACATTTGATTCGATTTTTCTGGCCTTGGGGTAATTTGGAAACTGATTTAGTTATAAGAAAAGATGCAGCTTTTAATTTTGATCTCCTCGTGTCCCCTCCAATGCTCGATTTTTGTACCGGCAATTATAAGAAAAGATGCAGCTTTTAATTTTGATCTCCTCGTCTCCCCTCCAATGCTCGATTTTCATTCTTGATATTAGAATGAATGTTGTGCTTTGTGGACAGAAATTTTGGTTGCAATAAACTGAAGCCCCTTGTTGATTTATTTGTCACGTGGTACTAGAAACCTGAATTATCTGAATCCATCCTGTTTTCAGTTAACTGAAACAGGGATTTGATGAATAGGCCAGTGTGGAAACAGGAGTCGTGTAGCCAACCCCATATAGTGTGGATAAGGCTTAGATGTGATGATGATGGATAAGATGAATAGGCCAATGGGTGGAAGAAATTATCATCAAGTAATCAAATAATTACAGTTATTCTAACTTGTAGTCTTTCTGTTTAAGTGGGTTTTATAGATTTCATTCCTACTGCTTAGTGCTAACAAATTCACAATAATGACACTCACAAGCTTATGCCTACACAAGCAAAAACCTATAACAGATTTGGGTTCTTTGCTGTTCTGACACTGCCATCATTAATTATCTGTTGTTTTGTATTGATGATTTGTGCATGTTGCTATGTGCTAAATTATGTCTGATGGGAACATGGAGATAGAAAGCATTTGCTTGGTTTAATGATGATGAGGTGCTTTTTGGTGAAGTAATGTCTTTATATTCAGAAATGAGCCCTTGAAACAGTTAGAATGTGGCTGAGTTGGTGATGCTAATTGATAAATTATTTGGTACTTGTTGTCCCCTTCCAGGGAGGGGGGACAGGGACTCAAGGTCCTACAATCTTTTATGTGCAACACCTATGACCCCACCTAGATACTAAATTCATCTGTTTAACTTCATTCAAGGAATAGTCTGTTGCATCAGATGGTCCTGTAACCTTTTTTGATTTTCATCTGTTTTTAGATACATTATGAAGAACCCGAGTCCAAGGCAATGGGCAGTGATGTTTGCTCCTGGAAATGAAGGAGAGGCAACGCTGGAGGGCTGAAGAAGACGCTATATTACGTGCCTATGTGAAGCAGTATGGCCCAAGGGAATGGAACCTCGTATCCCAGCGCATGAATACACCCCTTGATAGGGATGCAAAATCCTGTTTAGAAAGGTGGAAGAACTACCTCAAGCCTGGCATCAAGAAGGGATCCCTCACCGAGGAGGAACAGCGTCTTGTCATTCATCTCCAGGCAAAGCACGGAAATAAGTGGAAGAAGATTGCCGCTGAGGTTCCTGGCCGTACTGCTAAGAGGCTAGGCAAGTGGTGGGAAGTATTCAAGGAGAAGCAGCAGAGGGAGCAAAAGGAGAGCACCAAGGTCCTTGATCCTATAGAAGAAGGAAAGTACGACCGCATTCTTGAGACTTTTGCAGAGAAGCTGGTAAAAGAACGTTCTGCACCATTCCTCATGGCCACCTCCAATGGAGCCTTCCTTCACTCTGATCAGCCTGCACCTCCACCAACCTTGCTTCCCCCATGGCTTTCCAGTTCCAATGGCACACCTACAGTGAGGCCACCCTCCCCTTCTGTTACCCTAACCCTGTCACCCTCAACTGTTACACCAGCTCCTGCCATCCCATGGTTACAACCTGAAAGAGGAGGGGATGGCACTCCCCTTGTCTTGGGCGGTTTGCAGCAACATGGGGCAGTTCCTGGAGGTGGTGATGGTGCAATTGTCTCTGAGCTTGTAGAATGCTGCAGGGAGTTGGAGGAGGGGCACAGGGCTTGGGCAGCACATAAGAAGGAAGCAGCCTGGAGGCTTAAAAGGGTGGAGCTGCAGCTAGAGTCTGAAAAAGCATGTCGAAGGAGGGAAAAGATGGAGGAGATAGAATCAAAGGTAAGGGCCCTTAGGGAGGAACAGAAGGCGACTCTGGAGAGGATTGAAGCAGAATACAGAGAACAGTTGGCGAGTCTGAGGAGGGACGCTGAAGCGAAGGAACAAAAATTGGCAGAGCAGTGGGCTTCAAAGCACATGAGGCTCACGAAGTTTCTTGAGCAGATAGGCTGTCGACCTAGGGCCACTGAGCCTAATGGCCGCTGAATCGGACCACAATCTATGATTTGGGGAGATGGACAATGATGGTTCTGTTGGTTACTTGCATCCATCGAGCTCTTGTTCGTCTTTTAAGAACTTATTTTTCCGACATTTACACCTCCCCTATCTTCATCTGCCGATCTTGTGTGCATTCTTCCCCAAAGCTTTTGCTGTATTGGGTTCTGCTTCAAAAGGGATCACTTTGAACTTGCGCCACATATATTGTATTTATATATCATCTTTCAGTGACTCGTTACCGAAGCCATGATATAGCCGAAGAGCAGTTTGACCCGTTTTAGTAAAACCGTTTATTGATGCTTCTCTGTCTGCATCCACGCGCCATACTTTTTTTTTGTGAAAGTACTATTGTTTTTTAATTTTTTTGATAAAAACATGAAAGTACTATTGTTACTCTTTAGGTTAGAGTAACAATAATACAAGAATTTTCGATGAATGCACCTCTTTTTTTATGTTGTATTAGCCATCCATCTGAGATGGAATGCTCCAAAGTAGATACTTAATTTCTGTATATTTTGAACCACAATTACCACAAAATAGGTTGCCAATTGAATGTGGTTAATGCACAGTTGGAATTGGAAAGCCATAGTTGAGGTGATTAAAAGCTATTTTCCTTTTCGTTAGATGATTCCCGTGCTCGAAGGGGCGAAGATCAACTTTTAAAAATTTTTAAACAGTCTAACGGTTTACTGATTTTTGTCCAACGGTTAAGGTTTAGGGGATCTTTATTGCAAAAACTGTACAGGGGTCTTTGACACCCATAGTACAGGGGGTCCGTGCAATATATATACTGAATTCGAATACAAATGATACGCGGAGTTATTCTTTCATTTCATTTTGTCATTGTATTAGAGCCTCCGATGACCCGACTTAATTTCTGCTGCCCTGGCTCTGTTTCCTTTATTGCTTTGACTTTTCTGACAATTACCCTGTAATCTTGTCATGTCCGATCAACTATTTGCACCCCTCAGGGGCGTTTCTGGTATCGTGTCCCTTAATATGGGACAATTATTCGTGTCCCTTAACATGGGACAATTATTCTACATAGCAACAGGCCATGAGAAATACTTTGAAGGCAAAGAATAACTACGGTTTCGTGGACAGATTGCTCTAGAGGCATGTTCCCGGTTCAGTAGAAGATCGACCATGGTCAAAATGCAATTCCATGGTCGTCTCCTGGATCTCTAACTCTTTTGCTTGTGAACTATACTAGAGCATGGCTTACATTGAACTTGCAAGAAAGATCTGGTTTGACCTCCAAGAAAGGTTTGTTCGGAAAAATGCTCCACGAATCTATGAGTTGAAAAGAAAACTTTCATTCCTTTATCAAGGAGAAGTCTCAGTGGCCTCTTATTTTACAAAACTGAAGGGGCTGTTGGACGAGCTCGCGACTGGCCCCAATTCTCGATTGTACCTGTGGCACTACTAAGGAAACAAGTGCAGATCGTGAAAATTTAAGCATGGATGTTCTTTATGTGCCAAAATTTAAGCATAATTTGTTATCTATCAACAAATTAGCATCTCAACTACATTGTACAGTGTCATTCGCTTCTGAATATTATGATATAGGACCCAGTCTCTCACAATGTGATGAGTAGAGGAGAATTGCACAACAACATCTAATGTTTACAGATACTTCACCTTAGTTTTCCTATCATTGCTCTTTTTTCTTGTATTATTGGAGATTATCAAACATGGCACAACCGCCTCGGGCATGCTTATACTCAACAATTGTATCTTGTTTTTGATGAGCTCTCACCTCCAATAAGGGATGCATGTGATTCTTGTGAACAAGCCAAGCACGTACGGGTTCCATTTCCAATAAGCTCCATACGAGCATCAACACCATTCGACGTAATACATTGTGACATATGGGGAGCATATAACACACCATCTCTATCTGGTGCCAAGTTCTTTCTCACCATCGTTGAAGACTTTAGTCATTGTATTTGGGTATTTCTCATGAAAAACAAGTCTGAGACATGCCAATTACTTGTGTCATTTTATAACATGGTTCCCACACAGTTTGACTACAATATCAACAATGTTAGATCGGACGATGGTAAAGAATTTTTCTCTGGTCCTCTTCTACAATTTTTTTTTCATTTTTTTGCACATGGTATTGTTCACCATCATTCTTGTGTTGATTCTCCCCAACAAAATGGAATCGTAGAGAGAAAGCATCACCATCTTTTAGAGGTAGCCCATGCTTTATGTTTCCATGCTTTCTTACCTATTTCGTTTTGGGGTGAATGCGTGCTAACAACTGCATATATCATTAATTATCATCCATCTATGCCCTTACATGGAAAAACTCCCTTTGAATTACTCTTTGGTAGGAAACCAACATATGGTCACTTTCGAACATGTGGATGCCTATGTTATGCACAAGAACAATCCCTTTCTAGTGACAAATTTGCACCAAAGGATGTTTGATGTCTATTTGTTGGTAATTCACACAGTCAAAAGGGATACCGAGTCTACAATTTGGCCATGGAACGGGTATTCACCTCTCGTGATGTCACCTTTTATGAGACTACATTCCCGTTTGCATCTTCTGATCTACCTAAGTCAACTCAAATGGATGACTCCAACAACTTAGTCATACCTCTCCCACAAAATGATGATGGCATTGATGATACACACAATCAACAAGTTGACATTGAGCTTCCTATTATTGCTGAAACTGCTACAGATGGGCCTGATATCAATTTTGCGTGTGATGACTGTAATACCACTGCTTCTCATGAGTCAAATGAATTCAGTTCACCAACTCAACCTAGTCCCACTCGAACTTGAAGGTCACCAAGCTATCTTCGTGATTACATCTATCATGGTCCTACACATCAGTCTCCTAATAATGGCACACAACTTTCTTCTATCACAGAACCCACATCATACATCAGGCCTGTAGAGATCCAAATTAGTGTTAGGTCATGCAAGAAGAGATCGTTGCTCTAAAACGTAATCAGACTTGGTCTATTGTGGACCTCCCTCTAGGTAAACACCCAATTGGCTCCATATGGGTTTATAAGCTCAAATATAAAGCTGATGGCACTATTGAACGCTATAAGGAGTGTCTATTTGTTAAAGCGTATACTCAAATTGAAGGTTATGACTATCATGATATATATGCACCTGTAGCAAAGCTGGTTACTCTTAGATGCCTACTTGCCATTTCAGCTGTCAAAGGGTGGGAATTGCATCAACTTGATGTCAACAATGCTTTTTTGCATGGTGACTTATCTGAAGAAGTTTACATGAGTATTCCTCCAGGGTTTCCTAAGCATGGTAAAAATAAATCTTGCAAGCTTCGTAAATCATTATATGGGTTAAAAGAAGTATTTTTTTGTTGGTCTGAGAAATTTGCATTTGCCCTTAAAGGAATTGGTTTTACACAGTCCATTACAAACTATTTGCATGGTTGCTTTCACACCAAAGATCTTGGATTTCTCCACTATTTTCTCGACATGGAAATCACAAGGACTTCCTCAGGTATTTTTGTTGACCAATACAAATATACTATTGACATAATGACTGAAATAGGTATGCTCGAATGTAAATCCATCTCACATCCCATGGAACAACAATGACAATTCACTAATGAATCCAATCCATTACTTGAGGACCCAACTCAATACAGAAGGTTGGTGGGTCGGCTCGGCATGTCTACCTAACCATTAGTCAGCCAGAATTTAGCTACCCAATTCATGTCCTTACCCAACACCTTAGTGCTCCCAGGGAAGAACATATGCAAGTTGCTAAGCGTGTCATCCGATACATCAAAAGTGCACCACATCAAGGCATATTCTTCCCTGTCACAAATGATATCTCACTTCAAGCATTTTTTGACTCTGACTGGGCCTCTTGTCCCATCACTAGATGCTCAACAACAGGTGTTATATCACCATGTTAGGGCATTCACTTATCTCATGGAAAACAAAAAAGGAAATCACAGTTGCAAGATCCTTTGTAGAGGTTGAGTATTGTGCCATGGCTCTTGCCACAAGTGAAGTTCTTTGGTTGATGTGTATACTTCGAGATCTTGGAATTCAACACCAACAACCAGTTCAACTCTTTTTGTGATAGTCAAGCAACAATACACATTGCTACCAATCCTGTACTTCATGAACGTACGAAATATATCGACATTGTCTATCATTTCGTTCGAGAACATGTCCTCCACAAGACTATTGCTCTTTGTCACATTTCCACTACTTCACAACCTACTGACTTGTTAACAAAAGCCTTGGGTGCAGATCAATTTCAATCTCTTTTGGGCAAGTTGGGCATTACCCATGCTCCAACTTGATGGGGGTGTTAGGAAGAACAAAATCGGTTGTAACTAATCTTGCCCACGCGGATAATAAATTGACAAGTGGTTTACCACCAGCTAATCATATATATATATATATATGATTTGGAATAAAATTGATACATGGAGTTCCTCTTTCATTTCATTTTGTCATCATGAATGCCTCTATCTCTGTGAAATTAACGGCGGTTTCTATTCAAGGTCAGAGTATTATTCTTCCCACCACACATGCAGCCTTCCACATCATTTGGTGGTTTCCCATCCAATAAATATTATTGTCCTATAAATTTAGGCTATGTTTGGTTTGAAGGAAAATATAGGGAAAGGAAGGGAAATGTAAGAAACCTTTACAACCCTTATATTGGTTTCCCTGTCTTTCCCTTCCTCTCCCTACCTTTTCCTTCAAACCAAACATAGCCTAAAGTCCTCCCTCCTCCCTGCAGATGCCAATATCTAATCTAATATAACAAACCGAGAGAAGAAAAGATATCACATAAATGATGACAGTCGCTAGTATGTGATTTTTATCTGGTTTTCGTCAACGTTTTTCTCTTTGATTTTATGTTATCTTGAATTCTTTATCACCCAGCTTCTTTAGTAAAATTTTCCTTAGAATAGAGGGGTAACAAAGTTGGTTATTTTTTTTGAAGGCGGTAACAAAGTAGGTTAAACTCTACATTCCATGATCCACCCACGTTCTGTGATTCATGGTCCGCAAGAAAGAATGGATTGAAGCACGATAGGTTGTGCTTATTTTCTTTAAATAAATGCAGTTGATGGCAAAAAGTGTCTGTGAAATTTGAGTCTAGAAAATGATGTATCCGTAAAGTCTTTTAACAATCGAGAAATCCTATTAAAACAGATCTAAGATCTTTCTTTTTATCATCTGTTGCTCAGCGAAGTAAATCAAAGTTTTTAAAATCGAATCAGACAATGAACCATTCAGGGTCTGATTCCTAGGTTGAATGATCCGACCATTCAAACCCAATGAATGGCCTATTTTGACAAAAAAATATAAAAAAATAAAAAAATAAAAAATGTTAAAACCATTAGACAGTTCGAATGATTCAACCACCTGAATCAGCGGTTTACTGACCAAACTAAATCAACGATTTTTTACCAAAAGACAAAAGACAATGGAA